TGGAAGCACCAGACTCGTGTTTCGTTCTTAATAGAGCTCATCAGTTGTGCGCGTTCACCGTCCCGTCTGGGATTTGAAGTCCGGATCCATCGCGCTAAAATGCGGGCCTTAGGAAAAACCAGAATGGCAGTTTCAAAAATTACTTCATTATACTACTTTGGTTAATGAGATGATTTTGTTCTTTCTGAACAGCATTATGATAAATTAGGTTAGTGTGAAAACCTTGGCGAAAATGCATAGTTTTGGCACACTGTTTTTCGGTGGTTTTGCTTGTTTCTGCGTATGTGGAAGTCAGAATGCATGCAACTTAGTCAGCAATTTTCGTGTAGTTAAAAGTTCGCTGGCTGTGTGCTTATGTTTAGGTAGCATTTTCGCCCAAGGTAGCTCAGACTCGTGTTTCGTTCTTAATAGAGCTCATCAGTTGTGCGCGTTCACCGTCCCGTCTGGGATTTGAAGTCCGGATCCATCGCGCTAAAATGCGGGCCTTAGGAAAAACCAGAATGGCAGTTTCAAAAATTACTTCATTATACTACTTTGGTTAATGAGATGATTTTGTTCTTTCTGAACAGCATTATGATAAATTAGGTTAGTGTGAAAACCTTGGCGAAAATGCATAGTTTTGGCACACTGTTTTTCGGTGGTTTTGCTTGTTTCTGCGTATGTGGAAGTCAGAATGCATGCAACTTAGTCAGCAATTTTCGTGTAGTTAAAAGTTCGCTGGCTGTGTGCTTATGTTTAGGTAGCATTTTCGCCCAAGGTAGCTCATAACATCTCACGTAAACAGCTGCTAACCGAATGATTTCTCAACANCAATCCCCTCCCCCCCCCCGTACCCTTTCGTTGGTTTTCATCAACGGAAGTCCAAAATCTCCGCTCCCATGAATACAGAACTAAGTCCGGGATTGAAAAGCATTCGATCACCATCCCCTTCTTCTTGCCTATCGCCACTTTTTCTTCAACTTCCTGATGACGAATATTTTATCACGGGTAATTATACAACAGTACAATCAGAAGAAGACCCAAACGAGTCGAACGAACCTAGTCCGAAAGTGACAAGTGTAGTCGATTCCTCGGCCCGGAGGCCAACAGAATTACCAAGATCCAATCGTGTTTATTCAACAAATTTTCACTATATGCAACTGGCATTTGAAGAACTGAAGTCTTATGCGCTCTCGACTGATGAGACGGAAACCAATATCAATCTACCCGTGACTGCCCCATTTCACATCACTACCCCGAAGTGGTCCCTGAAGCGAGTACCTTTTAACACACAGCTACTCCCTGTCTCTTTTGCACACGACATGGCAGATGATGTTAATTTTGTTTAGTGATTATCCCGTTTGCGTATAATAAGTGAATTACAACAGTGACTCAGGTGTTTCTTTATGTTTTAATAAAATCATTGTATACAGTTCCGTTGAAACTACGTGTAAACGGTGTGTGTTTGTTGGGGGGGGGGAGAGAAATAAAGTCAGAGCATATCTTCATTTGATTGAATTTTTTTCAAGCATTTTCGACTGTATTGGTCGGGGTTTATTCACTGACTAATTTACTGTATGAGTGCTGTCAGGTTTTGCCATTTCTGACGCTGTTGTATGCAACTCATAATTCGACGCCGTCGGTCAACGTTACCCTGTTCAGTATACTGATGAGTATTCTCCTATGTATAATGTCGTTGTACGGCCTTGTTAAACAGATTCGAAATCAGAGAGTTCCTACTAGTGGCCGTGATTTGCATCTACTAGTGGCAGAAATCAATGTTTGGCAACTACCTGTCACCTATCAGAGTGAGAAAAAGGTGGAATTATAAAGTATCTGGTATCATTCATACACATTCCCACAGACACATGGGACTGCGTATCGTTTTTCTGGTCTGAGTCCCATTCCCCTTGAACATGTGGCCATGTAAAATGTATAGTATATCACCTTGTATCCTTCGAAAAAGTTCGTCTTCTAACCTAAAAGTTGATGAGTTGGGTCTCGGCAGGGACACGAAAATTGTCTTTCATATATCGCGCTGGTTTAAGCATGTGTTACGCATGTCATCAAACAGGGTGCTTCCAATCTTCCCTCTAACCTTTCATCCAAATTGGCATCCAAAAGATAGGAACTGAAACCGGAGGACGAAATTAAATGTATAATGGCTGTTTAAAACGGAAAAATGAACTGAACACGGAAATCGGGCTTCAGAATATGGATTACTTGATATTTCATTTTAAAAGTTCCAATAGTGCTGCTTCTAGCTAATGTATCCTATTCAGATAGTTAAGTGCCAAGATATGCAACAAATAGATCATGTCCTGATCGGATGTCGGACCTGTATTCTGCAATCTGGACGGAAGAACACCCACCTATCCCCTTCTGGGTTATCCAGAGGCAAAATAGGTTGGATCCAACGGTAACGAGGAACAAAGTTCACTGAGAAAGAAAATATATAAGTGAACGGTTACAGGCTAAACACCGTCAATCCACAAACGCTGAAAATATCATCTCGGCCGATACAGAAGTATTCGATAGCAAAATACCATTTTGTTTTACTATTAGTGATGCTTGGTCTTGCAGTTTATGCAGATTTCACTGCACACTGCCCATCTGAGAATACCCTTTCATTTACTCTGCACGGCGTAGAAACTTTGGTTTATGCTGTTACTCACTCACCATGAAGCCAGGTAGGACTGGCTGATAGTTCCTTGTACGAATGAACAGACCACTCGCCTGAGCGCGTTGTTGTTTATTTACTCACCTGAGGCAACGCAATACGGCAAAACTGAGTATGATCGAGAACGCTTGTATTCGAAGTGTGTCCAAACTTTGCCATTGAATTGGAGCCACTGGAATAAAAGAATGACCAAGATTCGAACGAGCTGTGCACTAGCCTATCGGTTTACAGTCATATTAATTTACCTATCGAGTACGTGCTTATGGCGTCCTTTGGGCGACAAATTTCGTAGCTAATCGCTTTCTCTTCGGTTTCGACCTATTAAGGCTCTAATGCGACCGTGGAATTCACATACGTCTACTCATCTTAGCTACTGAAATAAGAATAAGTAACCACATCTGAGGTTCGAGAAAACAACTGCATTTTCTGTAAATCTGTTTTGAAGCATTGGTGATGAACACATCAGCCGTCCAGGAAAACTAATCCAACACAAACAAGGGTCTGGGAGGGATCTGGTACGAATCAGTGTTTGGTACTTTGATTTTTCAGCTCTGTTTGGTGGAATGGCATTCATTATCGCAACTTAGTGGAATATTATGTTTAATCTCTCGTGATTGTTTGTGCGCAATGGTCAGTATCAATTTCCTGAATGTTTGTGTCTGTTTTTGTGCAGTTGGTTGTATTCTTGCAATTCTCTTTCTAGTGTCACAGTCGCGCTTGTTGCATCCTCATGCTACGCGATGTTTACGCTGGTTTCCGGTTTCCGGTTGGGCAGTATTTTGTGCAAGAGTGTTGGGTACCGAGTTGAACAGGATCCGATAGATGTAACACGATTTCGGCGTAGACAGGGAATCCGGGAAGCTGATCGGCGGACTGCTACTGTAAGACAGTGACAGACTTGCCGCGGAATTGGACGGTGGCAACTGACTTATGTTCGGTGCTCTTCGACTCATAACCCGATTGTTTGGACATTCTGTGGCTTGTTGCTGTTCGGCTTCATCATCCTGACGACGGGAATTATCTTCCGAATCTTTTTCTGAATGAAGAAAGGAAGTGAAATTTGGGAGATAACTCAAACTGACTATCATTTGGTAATTTTCTCCAGTTGATTCAAGATTCAGAAAGACACCAAACGTCAGATAATGTATGTGCTTTTTGTACGTCGGTCTTCCATCAGAGTGCGAAAACCTCCGCTGAGTCAAACCTTTCCTATCAATTCGAATATCAGTGCGTAGTCACCTATATCAGTAGATCGCAGAGACAGTAGGGTAACCAAACAAATGAACGTACTCTGAAACGGGTTCAGTGTGAAGAAAACAAATGAACATTATCCTACCACAACCAAACCCAAATCGAATATACAAAACCTACAACATCAGTTACGAAGCATCTATTATTGAAGCTCCATCAGGTTGATCAAGATAATTCATTCAGAAGTATTTGTTTGTCCAAAAGCTCTGAGTTACTAGGACTTTCGAAGATGATAACAACAAATCGATGAAATTCCTTCTCCTCCTACTAATAGAGACAACTTTGTTACCTGTGCTTCATCCTGGTTATGTACTAACCTGTTTCTCCTTCCCGGTTATTACAACTGGTAAGCACCAGTTGAGATACGGCAAAATTATCCCTAAGATAAGTTGTGCAATATCACAATTCTGTGTTCTTTTCTCGACGTTCAACCAATGAAAGAATGTTTCAAATCTGGATGATGTAATTTAATTGTTGATTTTTCACAGTGAGGTCTTCCGGAATGATAACCACCGTACTATTGTACGATGGTTAAATACAGTTAGATATTCGGATATCACATTCAGCATGAAAGCCTCCGTCAATAAATCACATAAGAGAGTGAATATATTCGCCTAATTGTGGACACTGTGAGTAGTTTACTCTCACATTTTGGAGGACGCAGTGTGCAACTGAATTTCCTGTTTGCTGCTTTATCACGAATGTGAATAGGATGTCAGGGGAAGACGAAACACACAGAATATCTTTTTCTTGTTATATACAAAAACCGCATTTAAAAAAATTTCTTCACTGCAATATTTCTCGTATGTGCACATGCTAAATAGATCATCTAACGATCTGTGTAATAAACCTAATGATTTTTGCAGTCCAATGAAATTGAGAATGACTGATAATGCGTCAAGTGAATATCTATTTATCCTAGCTGGTTGCATCAAATTCATCAATGATCTTTCTGACAGTACTTACCGGAGCTGCCGTCAGACGTATTGTTTATCGTGGAGCTTGGTTTCTTTACTGTGAGCGGTTCGTTTCCTGTCTTGCCTGGTGCGGCAGGTGTTGGAAAGGTTGAGGTGGAATCCAAACTTTCCGATGTGGACGAGAAAAACAGTCCACCCTGTGCATAAATGAACATCGAAAAATGGGGTGCATACTTTAGACACACTAATACCCGCTGGGTTTCTAATTTACGCAAATGATCAACACTTTTTCTTCCATATAAATTTGCACAAGTCCAATACTTTCTTCCCAAACATTTTGATAGTGTTTCCACCGTGTCATATGTTGATGTTAACATACTATACTTGTATGGAAGATGAAACTGTAGCTTTTCCATAAACAGCACATTTCTTGATGTCTCTGGGGGTTATGAAACGTCCGGCCGGAGTATCCAGAAAACCCTAGGGACTATTTAGTAGTAACTTTCGAAACGAATTGGTCGTTTAATGAGAGTCAGCCTAAACCCGACGCTTATAGTGTGTATTGATTTCACCTATTTTGTGAGAATCTCATCAAAGAAGTGTGTGGTAAAACAAAGCAGAAAAGAAATGCTGTTCTTGTTTTTTTTATTGGGCGCGGGTGGGTGTCTCTATCATGGTTTATTGAGCATGCTGTTTTCTTCCGTGCACCACTCCAACCCTTTGATGTTATTGTTATGGTTGCGCTAATATCAGGCTTGTTCTAAAGCCGGGGATAAATATGTCGCACACCATCTTTGGCAAAGACTTGACGGGGCCTTTGAATTAGGCCGCGCGGGCCGTTACATCGCCGGATTCAAAACTACACAATCACTCTTCACCGGATTTCATCTGGGATACACGTCCTTTGTTGCCATAGCAACGTTGTACGACAGTGGTCATCCTGAATTCTATGAAATACTCTGCTGCCTACATGAAGCGACTTCAGATTTCCGGCCACTGGATTGTACCTTCTTTTGGCAAATCGGTTCGTAACAAAGAGAGAAGAATTTACGGAAATCTCAAAAGCTTTCCCAGAAGACATCGAGCTGGATGGCAGGTCGCACTACGTAACCCCTCAGTTTCAGACAACTGCATTCCAGTGTTCATAAATGGAAATTTACGCTCCCTGCTTGTGAACATGGCAGAAGTAATAGATATGACAAACAAACGTGAATATTCAGGGGTTGGAGTTGTAATGCTTCATGAGAGCCGGCTCCACAATGAAATTGATGATAACGTTGTCAAAATCGACTGTTTCCGTTCCGGTTCAGAAACGAAACAGTGGTTTTATCACATTCATAAATGAATATTGGTGCAAATCATGCAAACGAGTTTTCGTGTATTCTACTATTTTTATTAGTACTTATCTGTACATACTTGGGCCTAAAACCCTCAGTAAATACCGGAACATTAGTTTTGGAAACTTTGAAATTTCTCCTTCTTGTTCCATTGATCATTTGAATGAGTTCACAGACATTTTCTCCACCGCCTTACTAAATTACGTAGACTCTTCCCTTTGAATCGTGTGTGGTGACTGCAACAGGTTTGATGCCACATTTTTTGATTTCCCTTAGACTAGACTCGAGGTTTGTTTTGATTTGTATTTTGTTAACGACCTGAATTTATTTAACTTGCATAGCCAATCCCCTATTGGCACCTCTGATCATTGTTGAAACTATCTCCCGCAGTCTGTAGTAGATCCAATCATTAGTTCTACACACGGCATCGTGATCGTCGTCGGCGTCAATGTCAGCCCAAAAGCCTCGCCAGACTTAGAGATACATTAGGTCAAACAGATTTCTCTTTCATGGCATCACATCTAAAGTTAAAACGGATATCTTTGGAGAAATTGCGCGTCGTGCTCATAGTATTAGATCCGTATAGGAATGTTTAAATTAGCCACAATGAGAGAAAACCAAAAACCGAACAGTTTTTTTGTGCATAGTTTCTTACTGTTTCTTACTAACGTCGATCTGGTCACGGACATCCTTAAACACTAACTTTGATAAATTTGTCTTATTTTTTGTATATCCTTGGTATCATCCTCATCTTTGTTCTTTTGACATGCCATTTCCACAGAAGAGTGATTGTGTGAATGCTCATCCCGTATGGAATGAATTAAAGCAGCTTCTTGGCTTGATTTATCAGCTGTAGGCCTAACACACATTCTGATCATGCTTGGTTAAATGAGTAGGAGGTTTGAAAACAGTCGAATACACCCGGGTATAACAAATAGATTGGGATCAACTTGCAAGAAGAGTAGCTTTTTCTTACAGCCTCCTGAGGCAGATGCTATTCTTCGTAACAAACTCAACCCGTGCGAGCAGATCAATGCGCTGGCCAACCTCCAGCTACCTTGGTCAGGCTGTGACCGATCCTGCTGCATTGTTTACGACACCAACAACTTGTGCTTAGTCCGGTCTGGGTGTTCGTGACCTTTGCTCTTCATGTCGATTTATCCTGTGCACGGGTTTCTGATTTTTCGGAAGTCTATCACTGTGTTAACAGAACGTGATCTAAATCTGCTTCCGCAGCCTACGAGGTTGCCGCATATCAGATTAAATCAATGCATTCTTCAGTTATTGGTATTGCTTCTTGATCTCTTGAAATGATTGAAATGAACTGGTTACTTGCGATCGGCCCTCACTTCAAGCATGACAAACAACTCGCGGTCAAGGCAGAGACACCTTCTATTGCATGACAAACATAACGTATAGCAAATGTTTGACTCCCTACTCATAGTGAATCCTGCTTATTGCATTGCTCATGAGTGAAATTTCTCGAATGAAACAACTTGTTGATTTTACACCTGAATATGAAAATGTCATAAGAGGGAGGTAAAACAGAGTGGGCAACTGTGTTCTACATTAACGCAGCTTTTGAAAACGCGGATTTGACCGCAGGTGTTTGGAACTTTTTCCACTTGGAACTGATTTATTACCTTTTCTGACCAACTGTCATGAGTAAATGAAAATGGGAGGCTCAACAGCCCAGCTGGCTTTGAAGAACAAACTCTGTGATAATAGGGCTTGCAAGAAGACAACCAACCGATCAAAGGGTGATGATTATGCCGTTATAATAATAACCATGAAATAGGAAAATACAAAGCGTCTTTCGCCAATTGACATGTTCATACACAGCTTTCAATCACAGACTGGGTTGCAGTAAGTAGGCAGATAGAAGAGAAATAGTGGGGCAGCGACTGTGGGATTCAAACCTTCAGCCTCCTGGTAGGTGTGAAAGCGATCCTGAATACTGAATCATCACTATTCAAGGGATGTTAGGAACAGATCAATAAAAAAGTGAACTATTTTGATACCGAATGGGACTAAAAAGTGGTCTAGTCCGGGAGATTGGTGCAGTGTTCCACTGCGGGTTTTATAAACAGTGCAAAGCCGGGATACGGTTAAAACTCGTTTCGCGAGTAGAAGGTGCTAACTCATCCTGAGTGCTCATAATCCATATTCACATGTTTGAAAAGACCAAAATATGGAAGGGTAAGGTTGGAATCCGTCAGGTTTTGGATGTGGAATGCAGTGAACGAGAGGTACCGGATACTGACGCAACAGCTTTGCGATAACAAAACGAACTTTGTTTTTAGTACACCTAAATAGTCATATCACTGAGTTCTCAGTACACGTATCTACTACCATCGTTCGTGATATGGTTTGTTGTAAAGTTGATGAGGTTAAATGGCATTTCTATGACTCGATGGTGACATACTTCAGATTGCATCAACACTGCTAACCCGAGCAACAGGATCGAGCGAGCAAATGTGTCTCGGACACAATCAGCCCGGTACTCCCCCGTCGAAGGGGCTGTTTTTGTCACGTTCTCGTAAGAGCATACAAAAGTGAGTAAGTCACACGTTGTGAATGTTTGTTTATAGAAGCCCTCCTGCGAGTCTGACGTTGAAAGACAGTCGGTTTGAATTTGACTAAACCAAACGCTTTGATGAAATGTCGAGGGGAAATGAGTCAAACGGTCAGTCAGAAAAGAACCAAGAATGGAATGCGGTTGATGAATTCGGATGTGGTTAACTGTGATACGCGGTTTGAATGCCTTCAGACGCTTCACATTCATGGAAAAATAGAACAACAATGCTGACAAATTGTCATATACGTTTTCATTGTTTTTGTCGTTTCAAAAATGTTAATTTTTGTTTTATCGCACAATTCAAACAATGTCATTCGCTTGTCATGCCACTGAAACAAACGATGCTTCTGGGAGACATTGAAATCAGACAGGTTCGTCGAGAGAAGACAGATTTTCAAAATACTGTGGAACTTGTGGAAATCTGACAAAGTGATGATATACATCAAGAGGTGGACAAATCGGGTTTCAACATCTATTGTGTGACCTACTCAACACCAACGCAAAACATGTGTCAGACGTGAACGTATTTTTTTTCACATTCACAATCATACGGATTCCGTATACGTTACCAGATTTTTGTCGGGATATATGATATAAATAATCAAATATGACTAGCAAATTCACAGGGAATTCCCTAAATTGAAAATAATCTTCTTTCACTGTAAAAGATTTCAAAAATGTTGATTACTAATTTCGGTATTTATGTTCACAGTGAAACTTATCCGTGTTCAAATCTAGCAGTATGAATAATCTGTGTTTGGAGCACAACGGTATTAAATTTATTCACAAATTTGGGGGAAGGGAATGTTGTGTTTGTGCGTGTGTGTGTGTGGCATAAAACCCCTTAAAGTTGAAATTTCTCGGACAATGTGATTGGAAACCGTGAAAAGGGTAGTGGCCTTACCTCTGCTCCCCGTGTAAGACCTTCGCACTAATACTCAAATGCTCATAGTTGCAAATTGTACATCTGTCATAAGTAAAATTCGTAGTTTAACATGCAGTTCATCTCTATCTTTTCTCCTAACGTCATTTGACCCAATCTTCTCAACTGGTAATAGTCAAATGAAGGAATTAAAATTCTCCATTTTACTGTGTTATGCTTATTATTGCTCGTATACGTTTTTGCTGCAGAGTCCGACTATTGTGATTGAATGCAAGTGATAATATGTTAACCTCTCCTCATACAGAATAGTGAATCCTGTTTATCACAGTACAGACTACAGATAGATACATCGACCTGGCTTGTAATTAAAACCTAGAGGAAAACACAACACAACATATTCCGTGCTCACGTTACCTT